ATAAATGTATCTACAGGACATTATAGTATATTTAAAACATGCACATCGAAAATAGGAACGTTATCGGGTCATTATGTTAAAGATCCTGATACTCAATTTTTTATGGTTTATATCATAAAAAATATGTTCTAACGAAGATTTTTCAATATTGTAAGTTCCAAAAAACATTATTTGTAAAGATATTACCGAATTCACATTTCATATTAATAAAGGGAGGTAATAAGATTTTTATTTTCTATAAAGTCTAAGTCAACTTTTTCAATAAGAAATGAATGAATATATTTATGTGAACAAATATTTGTAGTACATATTTTACATATTCTTTGATGTTTGAAAATTGTTTAAGAAGCATAAATATATACATATAATTATAAAATTTCACTTAAGTATGGTAACACATACAGGATCTTTAATAGAATATAATCAAAGGTGACGCGTAATTTAAGATTGTTGAGTTAATAATTACAATAAAGATATATACGATACATACAGTTTATTTTTTCTTGTGATTTCGTTTCAATTTTACTTGACCGTTGGGTGCATACTAGAATAGCCAGATATATTCTACCCTCGCAAAATAGCGTAAGTGACCTCCCTTACTTTTTCAGGTACATTGGTCTTCCGCTATTTAACACCGGTTTGGAGTTTTTATACGAAACAATTTAAGCACTCAGACCAATGGCATTTGTGATCCTTTTTTACTCATTAAAACGGTGTAACACAATTCATATCGATATTATTTCTTAAACAAACAACTGACGTAATGAAAGAATCGTAAAGTAACTTTAAATGGCGGGAAAATACTCTTTACTATTATGCGTTTTTTAAAGAATAATATTATTCAATTCTTATAATACAATTACACAATACAGATAATGGTAAAGAACTATTTTGTATAATAGATACTACAATTAACTAAAGATATATATTACATAAAAGGCAAGCATTGGAAAACACAATAGTACCATATTTATTTGTTTAAATCGATAAATAGTTTAAGGTCTTTAGATAAAAAAAATGATAATTGCTTTTAGGAAGAAATTTGAAAAGAGCTCAGTGCGCATTGCATTAAAGTATTACCTGATGTTTGTATGGCACTTTGGTGATTAGTGATCTATATAAAATTTAACAAAGCGTACAGTTAACCTTTAAGGCCTCTCTTAAATCTTTCTTAAACTTTAAGAATCCGGTTTGTTTGTAGTTCTGTCATGAGGTTATCACTGAAATCCCCAGCCCTTCAAATTCCATTTCCTAACAAATAATATAATATATGAAAATAAAATCCATCGAAAGCAATGAACACATATTTTTGTGCAAATCACTGACTCGGTTGAATAAGTATGTCCATGAAATACAGAAAAACATGTTCCATCTCCTTTTCACACGCAACATTCTTTCTCCTTTTCACATACACCATTCCTGCTCATTTTCACACACTGCATTCCTTCTCCTTTACAGTCACAGCATTCCTTCTCCGTTTCATTCACAGCATTCCTTCTTCTTTTCACACATAGCATTCTATTTCATTTTCACACACTGTATTTCTACTCCTGTTCACACACTGCATGCATTCCTTCCCCTTTTCACATACTGCATTCCTTCTCCTTTACATTCACAGCATTCCTTTTCCTTTTCACATACAGCATTCTTTCTCATTTTCACACACTGTATTCCTTCTCCTTTACATTCACAGCATTCCTTCTCCTTTATATTCACAGCATTTCTTCTCCTTTACATTCACAGCATTCCTTCTCCTTTACATTCACAACATTCCTTTTCCTTAACATTCAAACCATTCTTTCTCCTTTTCACACACAGCATTCCTTCCCCTTTTCACATACTGCATTCCTTCTCCTTTACAATCACTGATTTCCTACTCTTTTTCACACACAGCATTCCTTCTCCTTTTCACACACAGCATTCCTTCCCCTTTTCACACACTGCATTCCTTTCCATTTTCACACACTGCATTCCTTCTCCTTTTCACATACTGTATTCCTTCTCCTTTTCACTTATCCTTTACATTCACAGCATTCCTTCTCCTTTGTACACACATCATTCCTTCTCCTTTTCACCACAGCATTCTTTCTCTTTTTCACACACATCTTTCTTCTCTTTTTTTTACACAATTTCCTTCTCTTTTTCACACACACCACTCTTTCTCCTTTTCACACACAGCATTCTTTCGCCTTTTCACAAACAGCATTCCTTCTCTTTTTCAAACACAGCTTCCTTTTTCTTTTCACACAGCATTCTTTCTCATTTTCACATACAGCATCTCTTCTCCTTTTCACACACATCATTCTGTCTCCTTTTCACACACACCATTTTTCCTCCTTTTCACACACACCATTCTTTCTCCTTTTCACACACATCATTCTTCCTCCTTTTCACACACACCATTCTTCCTCCTTTTCACACACATTGTTCTTTCTACATTATACACATAGCATTCTTTCTCCTTTTCACAAACATTATTCTTTCTCCTTGTCACACACATCATTCAAAACATTCAATATGAAAATAAAATGCATCGAAAGCAATGGACAAAATTTTCCGTGCGAATTACCGACTCGGTTAATAAATTATAGCAGATACAAGAGATTTCAAGAATTCAATAAACTGCACAAATTTCAATAAAAATATTAAAACGATTTGCATATTTTTGACAATTCAGCTGTTTAAAAAGGAAAAACTTTAATTCTCTGTAAACCAACTAATCTTGAAAGATAACGTCGTCAAGCATTGAAATAGTCTAAAAACTCCTTCAATGGTTATCAAAAATAAAGCCAGGATTAGAGACCGTCCCGTGTTTATGACACTTGTAAAGGATATAAAAACCCCATGCATGTCGTCAGTTTTAATCAATCGTACATGCAACATTTACATGTTTTATGTGCTGAACATCTATCCATTTGCTTTTTTCATGTCTTAACTTGGAATCGTTTGTACTAAAACAAGTCATGTTTTGTCCTCAACTTTATATGCATGTTTTACTCTTGTGTAAAAGAAAACAGTACTTATTATAGAATAATGTTATGTTTGTATGACTGCTGGCATGTGCTACTGAGTGCCTATTTGTTAGTCCAGACTCTTGATATTGTCGGGAGCTGTTTTTGTGAACGTCACTTTCCTTTGTTGAATTGTTGCATTCATATCTATGCATTTCTTTTTCTAGTTATGTGTCGGTCTTTGTCTAAAGATCGGAGACAAAAGAAAATCAAACGCACGTTCAATTAACTTTTATTATAATTTATAATTATCATGTTTGAAAGTCTAGTATTGCCTTGCTTCGTTTACTGTTACAACGAAAGTATACACGAAACTCCTTAAAAAAATTATTTTAGAGCATAAGCCTTTTGCTATTTCAGTCGAAAAATAAATAACATCATTAGAGAATTGCCATGTTCGAATGAAAACGTTTGTAATGGTGCTGTTATTCTTTTGTGAATTTTCCAATTGTAACTAGTGTATGGAACTTCAAATGATAGTTATTGGTTCTGCATGAGAGGAGTTATTGTTTGCGATTTTCGGAAAGAAATACATAATTTTGGTTTTTGATCTTGAGGTCAAATCAGCCTTCACCTTAAAAATAGAAGTAAACTCTTAACCTGCTGGAACTGAAAGTGTCAGCCTTTGCAACCAGTAAAGCATACCCGCGAAGTCTGACAAAGGTTAATTTTTTTGGTTGCTTTTGTACTTTTGACATTAAATCTTCTAAAATTTCAAATTCAAAGTAAGGCTAATCAATTACACAAATTTAGAAGGTTGAGGTTTTAGCTGGGAATAAAGATATAACACCAAAAAGAAACAATATTTTATTTCTTTAATGTTTACACATGGTACTGAGGTAATCAGAAAGGCAACCGCTTGGTTGTTGCTTTCGTCATCTTTAACCGTCATAAAATAATAATCGAGGGTAATATAAGCAAATGCGTATGACAAGTGCATGTGCCAGTAAGTATTCAAAAATGATCTCATTTCTTCATCATATATTCACGAAGGATTTGTGACAATATATATCAAGTTCTAAATAGTATCACAAAACGTTTCGAGCCTTTAGAAAGATGCCTTGGTGTTGTAAATGAATGCAAGAACTGCCAATGCAACCACGACACTGCTTACACGAACAGCTGAAAAAGTAGATACAAAAGTTTTATGTGAAAGACATTTACAAAACCAATTTATCAGAATATTTCTGAGGACGCTCGTGTCATAAATTTAAAGTGTAATTGTTTGTTGTTTTTGATGATTTTTCTTTTTCAAAGTACATGTATTACTGCGACTTCAGCTATAAGTTATTAACATTTTTTGATGGATTGTATGACCAAGGACAAACGTTTGTATGCGGATTTTAACCTTACAGCTAGGCGAATGTTATATTGCAAACATCTGTTCATATTAAGTAATAATAATAATAAGAAGAAGTTGTAAAAGTTGCTGACGGTTTATACGGGATAATATAACCTGAATAATAATATGAACAGAGGTTCGGGAACTTATGTAACGAATTAATAATTAATATCGCAAAATTGTTATTGACATAAAAAGCAGCAACTTTAGACTGTTTTCATCGAAACACTGAAAACAGGACGTAAAGAAGATGATGTTCATCAAAAACATAGGGGTGAGTACATTGGATGTATCCCTTGCTTGTTGATGTTTCATATTTCAACACTATTCGAACGCTTCCTCAAGTATTAGGTCATCATTGCGGTGTTAGTTTTAAGTTTGTCTGGTCTGGTGCGAAAGCACTCCCTATTTTGCATTAAGCTATATTTAATATCCTTCTGGTACCACTATGGTGATAGTAGTAAGTCATCGATCTTATTGTTATTGCATTATTTCTTATATTTAAACAAGACAGATATTATACATGTATAATGGACAGTTTGATTTGCCTCAGCAGGCTTGTCGCGATAAATACATCTGCAATGCATTTTCCAAAACAAGTAACAAGAAAAGTAAGAATAAATGCTTTCTTTATTTCGGAAGACTAGTTAGCCTAGTAGACAACTTTGCTGAACCTCACCTGAAGAGCCTCCACCAGCCCCTGTACTAGTTTCCGTGCTAGAGCCACACCAAGTACCCGTACTTTTTCCTAAACCAAAGCTGCCACCAGAACTTTTACCAGTTGAATATAAACCAGGTGTGGTACCTGAACGTAAACCATGTATTTCCGTTGCAGTTGAATATATACCAGGTGTGTTACCTGAACGTAAACCAGGTACTTCCCTTGCAGTTGAATATATACCAGGTGTGGTACCTGAACGTAAACTAGGTATGTCCGTTGCAGTTGAATGTAAACAAGGTTTGCCAGTTGAAGAAGCTGATTGATTGGAATTTAAAAAAAAACGCATTAACAGTTTATTGCTCAAACAACGCCGAGACTGTTTCAAGATTTAGAAGTATTGTTTGACAAAACAATGCCTGCTTCAAATAGATTTAAGAGAAACATTTGATCAAACCAAATTGATATATACTGTAAAAACACTCAAAATACTTAAAATATTTCGTATACAATAATGCTTTTACTTGTTTTATTTTATTTATTTTATCTATTTATTTTTGTTAGGGTGATTAAAGCAAGCGTTAAAAACAACTGTAAATTCTTGCCATTTCAAAAAAAAAATATTATTCATTTCCCAAGAACTTGTTCAGGGCTATAGTGAGAATATTTATGGTTCTGATACAATATGATAAACAAAAGCACCGCTAGGCGATGCATTATATGCCCGAAAAGTAAATATTAAGGCCATTTGATATTGACCCTTGACCTTGTGACCCTTATATAAATATGGATCTTTTATTCAATATAGGCAATCATCCTATGGAGTTTGAAGACTGTTAGACAAAATGGGAATTGAGTTATGCTCCAGAAACCACGATTTTTAGTGTAAAGATCATTGTGACTCTGACCTTTGACCTTATGACCTAAAATCAATAGGAGTCATGTATTGGACATGGCTATTCATCCTATAAAATTTTACAGCTGTAGGTTGATTAGTACTTAAGTTATTAAGGGGAAACTTTTGCAGTTTAAGGTAATAGTTACCTTCACCTTTGACATTGTGATCTCAAATATTAATAGGGGTCTTCTTCTCAATATGGACAATTCAAGCACTCCTCGTAAACAAAAACGGTGTTAAACTGCTAATAAACACTGGTAAGGGGCTACTTGTATATGTGGCTGTTATGTTTTCTCCCTCGATTATATAGTTTACAAAGCTTTTTAAATCAACAAAAAAAAATATTTATATTTTCAGTTCTTATATTTTTTTTCTTTTCATACAATACCGAAATATTATCTCACATACACTTACGCCATAGATTTGATTCATATCAGTTAATAAATATTTTGACAAAACGGCGCCAATCCTAAGTAGCGTAATGACGTCATCTTAATTATACAACTCATTCATAAACGTTGACTTCAAGAATGCTAAATTAGGCACTGATGTAAACACAGCACACTCCATTCTGAGACGTAAGTTTTTATTGTTGAAAACCTGATAAAATAACTTTTTTCTTATTATTTCTTTTGTTAAGTAATTATATTTTAGCAACTACAGGGTGCGAAATCGATCAGCGTTTTACAAAAATCGGTACCGGAAGCTATTTCGGCTTGACAAGAAAACCATAGAGATCTTCCTTATTTTATTTTGTTAGAATAGAAATAATATCGGTCTGAGTGGTGTTTATCGACTATTTAACGGCCTACGGCCTTCGTACTCAATTTCTACGCATCAAAACTCCACACCGGTGTTAAATAGCCGATAAACACCGCTAAGACCGATATTATTTCTTAATTATCCTATCATGTTTGAATATTATTGGCCAAATGGAACTTAAGTTCTGGAAACCAAATTACTAACGGATGGACGGACGGACGTCAGGGGGTATAACATGATATGTCCGAAATTCTTTTGGGCATATAACAAGATTAACAAGAAAAGGCGGTGATATCTGAACACAACCCCAACACGACCTAGCAACAAATTACTGAATTCATTTTTCCTTTCTCACGAATAGAATATGAATTAAAAAAAAACAAATATGTATATAGATTAAAATTTGGATGAGTTGTTCTTTTTATAACGCCTTTGTATATTACTTCACTACTTATATTAACTTTTTGTGAAACATAGCACTTTATAGTATATTGTAGGAAAATTATAATTTATTTTCAAATCTGTTCTAATCTATAGCAAAAAAATACACCAAGACTTACTAAAATAATAGGTCTCAATATTTTCAATAACAGTCGATATAAAAACAAACAAACCTAGCTGTACAATACCTGCTATCCAACAGAGACCAATTAAAACACAGGCTGTTTGCAATTTCATCTTTCAGCTGAAAAAAATCCTGTTTAAACAACAATCTTTATACTTTATTGGAATAAACAGACAGTTTTCTTCTTATATTTTAAAGCTTCTTTAAAAATATGTTATCAAGGTGACCCTTCAAAGTGTTACATCTGAATGGGATATGTCATATCTTCAGTTTTATATCTCGCAATAGGTTAGTAGCCATGGTTTCTTGACACCAAACACAAATTGTATGAATAGACACGAAAAATAAAGTGTTTCAATATCTGGTGGATATCTATCATAGTTCAAATATATGTTGTCATTAAAATATTTCTTTTTTAATAAAGTTCTTTGTGGTTTATTTACAAACCTACATGAAACGAATTTTAACATATAACAATAATTTATAACCCGGTAGCAAAGATTTTATTTGCTGCTCTGGAGAGAATAATTTAAGAATAAAATCTGTAATTTTGTAGAGGTAATAAGTGTTTGCAGTACTACCATATTTAGATTTCTTCCAATATAACGTTAATTTATTACATTAAACACATGTAATATTTTAGTCTAAACTTATTTGTCATTGCTTGTTTTATTTTTTCAATCTTTTAAAAGAATATCTCTTTCAGTACGGATTATAAAAAAATATATTCTGCTTTTTCTCTTAAAGTAACCTTTAGTTTTGGTTTAAGGTCACAGCAGTGAGTGGACTTACCAGCTTTTATCGTGAAAAAAACCTAAGGTGCCCCTCCGTACATTAATCCAGCTCCAAAAAGGCACCTAAACAGAACCACTTTCATTCCGTAAGCTAGCTGGAAAGCTTTGTTTCGCGTGGCGACGTCTAAAGAAGAGTTTTCTTTCTTAGTTATTTCCGAAGTTAGCAACATTAGTTTTTTACATTGTAATTTATCTCAGTTGATATCTGCTATATGAAAATCACAATGATCTTTCTATATTTTTTACAAAATATATTATTTTTAAATATATATATATTGAAATTATTTATTAGTTTTCTTTCATTTTCATCGGTGCCTTGCTGGATGCCTTGCCTGAGAGGCGACTGCGTTTTGTGAACGTCACCTTGCCCTGGTGATATTTGCCCTAATTTTCTTTACTTTCTGTGCTGTTTTGTCTGAGTAGGTGAAAATGAATCATATTTAGCTCTTCTTTCGGTTTCTAATATTGTCTATTTTATGTCAGAATCATGTTGCCAATGGATCAATTTCTTAGTTCCCGTTTGTGATACCAGAATATCATTTACAGCAACCATTTAAAAAAAATAACGTTTATTTGATATCACCTTTAGTTAGTAACGAAAGAACTGCTAATTTGAATGTTTCATTGCACGCATCTTTTCCAATGTTCGTATCTGTAAATGAGCATTTCTTCAATGAATCTTAAACGTTGTATTGATTTTTCGTTCACTTTGACACATGCATTTGGTCTAAACTGTATCCTTCCAGCAATTAAAGGTGCATCGAAATAAACGGCAAATGTATCTTATCTCCTTTTTTAAATTTCATTATAAAATACCCCGACCTTAATCTGCTTCAGAAATCCTTTGCGATGATGCAATGTCATGCAGAAATCTGACATTGGCCAAAACTTTTACGCTGGACTCACATTTCACCATTTGCTATTTTCATGTCTTGACAAAAACCACAATGACTGTCATGTTTTGTCGTCAACACTTATGTTCAGGTTTTATGTGCATGTTTTACTCTTCTGTGAAAGATAAAATACTAATGGACAGAATTATTCTAGTTTAATATGACTGCTGGCCTGTCCTACTGAGTGCCTATTTGGTAGTTCTTGGTGTCTTTATGTTGTTGGGAGCAGGGTTTTACTAAATAGTCTTTCTCCTTTGTTAAATTGTCGCATTTATATTTATATACTCCTTTTTTCTTGTTGTGTAGAAAATATCAAATGCACGTTCAATTACCTTGGCTTTTTTATAATTATCTATAATTATCATGTTTGATAATCTAGTATTGCCTTGCTTTGATATTACGGTTATGATAATTAAAGGCAAATAAAAATATTTTAGAATAATCATTTTGCTATTTCAGTAGAAAAGACAGAAACTTCTTATAAATAAAAGGAAATTGCCATATTCCGATGTATATGTCATGTTTGTAATCGTGTTGTTACTCTGTTGTGAATTTTCAAAATGTTACTTACATCGATTCATGTTATTGGTCCTGTAGGAGTTATCATTTGCGATTTTGAAGAAAAAAATTGGGGAAAAAATGGATGTTTAGAAATCCACACCGGCTTCTGATTGGTTTAAATTCTTTAGTCAAATCAGCCTTCACCTTAAAAATAGATATTGACTCGTAACCTCAAGGAACTGAATAATTATGATAGCCTTTGCAACAAGCATAGAATTATGCAAGTCTGCATATCCGCGCAGTCTGACAAAGACTTATTCGTTTCATGGCTTTTAATTATTGAATTCTACTTAAGCCGGTGTAAGAGGGTGTGGATGGTAGTTTGCACTTTTTAGTACCGTCTAAAGCCGGTGTTAATCAAACCGAAACCGAGTCTGAACATTTCAATTTTGTCGTTTTGGACCTTTTGTTGATTTTTTTTCTCTCGCTCTATTAATGTATTTTTGACATTGCAATATCTGTAACTTTTAATTGTCTGTTTGAAATTTAACGTTTGGCAAATCCTTTAAACAAATTAATAAGGTACAGGTTTAAGCTGGGAATAATAATAAAACAAGAAACACAATTTTATCTATCTTTACTGTTAACATTGTATTGAGGTAATCAGAAAGTCAACCACTTGGTTGTTGCTTTCGTCATCATATACCGTCATAAAATAATGATAGAGCTTGGTAACATGAAGAATAATATAAGCATTACAAGTACGTGTGATTGTAAGTAATTAGAAAATAATCACATTTCGTCATTATATATCTCAGAAGGAAGTCACGTTTTAACTCACAGACAAATACCAAGTTCTAAAATGTATGACAAAACGTTTGGATCCTTTAGAAGGATGCCTTGGTGTTATATATGAATGCAAGAACTCCTGCCAATGCAACCATGACACCGCTTACACGAACAGCTGAAAAAGTAGACACAGCAGGTTTATGTGAAAGAAATTTACAAAACCAATGTTTCAGGATACTCTAGCCATAAAAGTGTTATTGTTGTTTTTGTTAATTTTTATCATAGTATCTCTACTGTGACTAACGTTGTAAGTTATAAAAAGAATGTGGATTGTATGACCAAGTAAAACAGTTATAATTTGATTTTACCCACGCTTCAGGCGACTAATAAATTGCAAACCGCTGTTTATGTCATTAGTTTTATAAGTCGGAACATACAGGAGGATATAGCCTGAATGAAATAAATATGACCTGAAGCGCTAGCTGAGGCTATATTCTTCTGTATGTCCAGGAATCCAGTCAGGAACTTGTTTAACGAATATATCATATTGGAACTGGTATTGATGACAAGTTCATAAAAACAAAAGCTTTAGAATGTTTTATTCGGAGCGCTGGAAAAAGACTGTAAAGTATCAGAAGTATGAAGCAATCACTGAGGGTAATATTCAACTTTTCTTAAAGTAATGATATTTCACTCGAGAAATTTTATATAAATATCGTTGTATATGCGGTACGCCGAAGTTATGGAAGTTATCGTAAGAAGTCGTCGATCATTTATCATGGTACTACTGTATATTATGCTCACTTTTTGTCAAGCTGAGCTGAATTGACTATATATTTCAAAAGATCGACCATTTATAATGACGATTGACCAAAAGGTGATATTGGAAAAGGTTTAGTACAAAATTTGAATATGCCTAGAATATAAAAAATGCCACACTCTCTTTTTATGATTTGGACGGTAAAGGAGTTTTCAGATGGATATAAACGGAAATTTCCTCGGCCAACGTAAATTTTTTTATCGTAAAGGCTCAGTAAGTTATGATACTTACTGTATGAAACAATTATGGCAAGATGTGCACTTTTTTGACGGTCACAAGTTCACTCAGCATATACCCTTGGATGAACATAATGTCACTTTAAGGACAAAAAATAATGTAATTGACCAAGAGCAGGCTTTTGACAAATATATGCAACTGAAATACATATTGCTAAAAAGGTACAATAAGAATATCCATATTTTTTTTTTGAGAGAGAGAAAGAGAGAGACTAGTAGTTAAAAGTTTTGATGAACGTCACCTGAAGACCCTCCACCACCACCACCGGTCCCTGATCCACTTCCCGTACTAGTTCCTGAACCAGAGCTGCCGCCAGGACTTGTTCCAATGACTGATGTAGGTGTGGAAGCTGTTTTGCCTATTTAAGCAAATAAAAAGCATAAATATTCTTTTAGTCATATAACGCAGAATCCTTCAAGTTTCAGAATCGTCAACCCATGAATGAATAGTTATGCAATAGATACACTTGATCTCACCAAAATTATTTACAACTAAAATAAACAAAACATTTTGAATAAAATAAAACATGTTTTTCTTTTCATTTTTCTTTGCAAACCTTTGCGACAAAATGGTTTGGTTGTAATTTTAAGCGGTGAATTTTCATACTGTTATTTGCTGCTATTTTACAAAATTAGTGTTCATTTCCTAAGAACAAGTAATTGTTTGTTATTTTTTTTTTCGCTAAACGAATGTTAGTATTATATTAAAGATACAGCAGTTTTTATTAAAAATTGATGAATTGTCCATTTTAATTCCTTCATTATCCCACTGCTTATTGTCAGTGCTGATAAGGCTATTTTTAAAATACTTCAAAAATGTGTCAAAACTTTTTTCGATTTTCATTTAAGCGAAGTATTCGTAGCATTTTAAAAAATATCTCTTTATTGCATAAATATGATAAAAAAAATCAAATCAGATCTTATCTTAAAAAATAAAATACAAAAAGACTTGCTAAAAGCAAAGAAATCAAATATTTACAAAAACAGTATAAAATCTAAATAAAATAACAAACCTTGCTCTACAAGACTAGCTATCAAGCAAAGACAAAATAAAACACAACTTGCTTGAAACTTCATCTTTCCACTGAAAACAGATCCTGTTAGAAATCTGATTTAATTTTTTTATGTTATATATTTGACATAAAAATACAATTTTTATATATATTTTATAGTTGTTTTTTAATGTATTACAGT